CCGTGCCCGAGCATGCGCCGGCCGCAGCTCCCGCAGATGAGCCGCCTGGGGCTCCTGGCCGTGGCCTTCTCGGACGGCACCGTGCAGCTCTACTCGCTGCCGCACCCCGAGGCCCTGCGCGCCTCCGCCAGATGCCAGGTAAAAGGTAGGAAGAGCCGCGAGCCGCTCCGCGCGGCGGGGATGTGGGGCCGTCCCCCGAGCCCCGTCCCGCCGCCACGGGGACCCGGCTGCCCCTGCCCGCGGTGCCCACGGGCCCTGTGCCAGGCCGGGCACGCGGGGACGGGGCCCCGTGGTGGGGGACAGTGCGGAGAGCCCCGTCCTGCCCGCCCGGAGCTGCGCGTCACAGCGGCAGCACCCGCAGCACCTGAGGGCGCCTCCGACGGTGCCACGGGGTGGGCGCCGAGCGAGGGGGCTGCGGGCRCCGAGCGAGGGGGCTGCGGGCGCCCGGCTGCACCAGAGGAGTGTCTGCAGCCGCCCGCCCTGCGCAGGAGCTGTCGCTGCTGCCCGGGCGGCGCTGCTGCCTCAGTCCCCATGGGGCCCCGCGGAGGCGCCGGCCCCGCTCGCTGCAGCCGCTCCAGGCTGCGACCTGCGCTGGCCACGGGCACGGGCTGGGTCCCGGCTGTGGCGGCGGCGAGTCGGGCGCCGGGCTCCTGCGCAGGGTCCCTGGCAGCACCCTGTCTGTGTGACCCTGCTCTGCTCTCTTGCAGACACCTCCCTGCACAGGGAGCTCATCTGCAAGGTCAGTGTCGCGGCGCGTGAGCAGCCGCCACTCCGGGGAGTCCGAGGGCCGCGCAGACCCTGTCCCCATTGCCATCCCCGTCCCCATGCCCGTGGCGGGGCCGTGACGGCCGCGTCCCCGCTTGCAGGCGCAGTGCGTGGCCACGCTGCAGGTGGGCGCCGTGCAGGCCGGGAGCGCCCCCGAGTGCGGCCAGTGCTTCAGCCTCTCCTGGCTGCCCCGCAAGCCCCACCACCACCTGGCCGCCGGCTTCTACGACGGTGAGGCGTGCTGCCCTCGCCGCGGGCCCCGCACTCGGCGTCCCCGCGGCGCCCGCGGCTCCCGCGCCCGAGCAGCGCCTTGCAGCCGCACGTCCTCCCCAGGCACCGTGGCCATCTGGAACCTGCCCACCACGTCGCTGCTGCAGCGCGTGTGCCAGCCCGACGGCTCCCTCAAGCTCTACCCCTTCCGCTGCTTCCTGGCGCACGACCACGCGG